CATATAAGTTCTTTTTATTTGATTTATTCAAATAAACATTAATCACTTCAGCGCGCGCAAATATCGTTTTCAAATTAAAATTTCGTAAGATATGTTGATGAATTTCCGATGCTCGACTGTAAGTCATTCGTATATATATATGCGTTTTTTTGTTTTGTTTTTTAAAGCTTCTTATTCTTTAATATTTTTATGTATCTCATAATCTGTATTGAAAATTTTATTACACGTGGACTATCAAATTATGATTCGTTGCCCTAGAATTGAATAAACTTTCTAATTACACAATACGGGGTCATTCATTTGATTGAAGACTGATCTTTGCGTCTTTCTCTGAAATAATTATTTTCCTTGTTAAAACATATTTGACAACATATTTCTGTCATTTAACTGTTCACTTTAACTTCCGATTTTTGTTGTACCGAAACACATGTTGCTATTTGTGTTTTCTATTCGAATCTATAATCAGTTTAATGGGATCACCACCGGGTAAACGACTACTAGGTACTTTGGTCATGTTTTTTACCCCAAATATTTGAATGTTTCTATTGGGATTAAAATGAGCGTAGATAACTAAACAACTGGTTGTATAAATGCCTGACCTGTCTAATTTTGATTATGAGATTAGTGGATATATTAAGACATTCAATTCAAAATATTGCTAAACAAAAGAGCACATGTTTAAATTTATTCCTTTACAAATAAAAGATCAGAGTAGGGATCTGTCAATTGCCAGACATATTTTTAAAAGATACTTTTATGTTAAAAGCTTAAATTATTGAATTATGTAAGATGAAAATGTAAGTATTGCTTTTTTTATTTTGCTAATATTAAATGTAATCTTGTGGTGAAATTTTGTCGGAGGGTCCTTACAGATTTTGTAGTTAAATAGTTTTTTTCGGCGATACATGGTTTAAGAATATAATGTTTTCAAACTATATGTTCATCACCATTAGTGAATTGAATTTTTAGTTAAATGTATGCAAAATATTTACTAACAGCTATATGATATAGCGGTTTATGAGCGGTTTCCGCGTACAGCCTCCTTAGGTGTACTAATAAGTTAGTTTTCCTTAGTTATCACGCAAGCATGATCCATGTCTCTGATGTAAGCGACAGTTTTACCATTATTTGTCTTTAAAAAAAAATATTAAAGACTATTAATGGTTTTATAACAACAAAAGAACATGCATGATATTGAGACTACGGTGTTGCAACGTTCTAGTTAATGACCCGTCATAAAAAGTTGGTCGCTGCGTAGTAATTGGAAAAATGTTATCAAAAATAATAAAGAATATTTGCCACCTAATTAAAGCATTTACCTATAAATTTTCATTTATACTTTTTGCTTAAAAAATATTGTTAAAGTTATTATATAGAAGGGTTTTCATACCAGAACTATTTATTACCAACGTACGTATGCCTAAACCTGATTACCGCGGCAGTATGACGTCACGGAGTAGTGATTTTGAAAAAATAACAAAAAAAAATCAAGAATTTTTCAGAGAATTATTATCTTTACAAATTGCAAATATGAAATAAAAGAATGAAAATATTTTCATATTGTAAATGTCTGTGATGAGTGATGAGTCAGCTTAGAAAAAATCAAGGTACTATTTTTTGACCTGATTACCGCGGCAGTAAGATTTGACGGACGGTATTAACATTGGGGAGGCACAGCCTCCCCAAAAACGAAAACAAATTTAAGACTAAAAATACAATGCCGGCGTTCCATACTTTTTTTCACTGAGCATCTCAGTGTCTTGTCACGTTCCACGTTGTTTGACATCCAGACGTTAATTTTTCAGAATTCTTATTTACATCAGACGACATTTGCATCAAACGACATGTTTATCAGACGACAATTTTCCCAGCATTGATTGTGATGTTAAACACTTATGAACATGATTTATAACTGCAGTTCAGCCCAAAAAGATTTTAAATATAATGTACACGTATTAACATATTACAATGTATTAATTTAAAAGTTATTTATATTTTTTAGTTCAACAAATTATCAATTACCTAAAATAGAGAAATTTCCAAAAACTGTTGCTAAAAAACCCTTTATCTTGGCGATCTTTTTTAAAGTGAGGAAAAGGGTTCGGTAGTGAAAAAAAGTAAAAAAAAGGGGGCCTATAAATGGGAGTTATTCTATTTTTGTTCTGAAAATCGTGACGTTTCAACATTTACATGCCGCTGTTTTTGGTTTATTTAAAAATCCTGAGAGCATATTTAGATTACAATAACATGAATAAATGAAGGTTAATGTTTGAAATTTATGTAATAGTATAAAATATTGACCATCCGGCGAGATGTCTGATCAGGATCCATGCTGTTCGCTATCAGTTTCTCTACTTGTAATAGGGTTGGTAAGCGAACAGCATGGACCCTGATCAGACTGCGCGGATACGCAGGCTGGTCTGGATCCATGCTGGTCGCAAACCCACTATGTTTTGTCGTGACGCGGCTCAAATATGTTTATCAACTTACACGGTGAAGCGTAATTTCGAGGATTTATCAAATAAATATTAAAACGCTACTGCAGCTACATTTCTACATCGTGCAATTTTGAATTTTGAAAAAGCAGAATCTCAAACACACATAATTATATGAAAAAAATATGTTGGTATATATCCTTATGAGCTGATGGTGCATCCGCAGAATTGTTGCAGCATGCTTTAAAAGTTTAAATAACAGCAAATACATGTACATTATTCCGGAACGTCCCTGTGTGTAAAGTAACACGAGTATGTTATGTTACAACTCTTTGGAAATAGACAATAAGATTATGGAAATGAAATAATTTTAACAGTTTTTATTTTAAATTTTGTAGAAAAAGTAATTCATTGGATACAGCTTTTCACCCTCTATGTTAACAATGTTCATTCACATTGGCCATTTCATACCTGATGAAACCTTCTTTTTTTTCGTGGGGAGGGGCGTTAAACTGATGGGATGGGGTAAAATTGCCGGGTGGGCTTGAAATCTTCAAACGATGAAATGCATTTGCTAATATAAAAGACCATACACCGCACATTAAACTCGAGCTTTTGACTCTAAGGTCCAATCATAGATTTAATAAAAGGCAACCAATTCAGCAAAAATAAACAAAAACAAAACAAAAAAAGTATTCACGACCTTTTAAGATCCTTATGATGCTACTAATTATATTCTAAATGAAATACAAACGTTTTTCAGGAGACTCGCAAATACATGATTTTGTTTTTCGGTTTTATTTGGGACACTCTTCATTTGGAACGAAACGCCAAGTTATGATATGAACATATCAAATCAGGTCACATATATGTGACATTGTTTCTTTTTGCTTGAAACAAAAATAATCTTGAAATCTAACGTATTTCTACTTCCGGTTACTCATTTTTAGAATTTTAACATTGAAAATAACATATAAATCATAACACATATTTCATTGAAATGAGAAATTAAGCGGACAGTTTCGGAATAAATCAGCGGAAATAGATTGCATAACAAATCAAAAGTCTGTTAACCTAATATAGAGTTTTGTTATCATCAGACGGCCAAGACTGCCATACAGACGATAACATATTTACGCGATCTTCAGGTCAAATTCCCATATGTGAATATATGCAAAAAAATTAAAAACAATGATGGTCTCTGATAAAGTTGTTGTTGTTGTTGTTGCTGCTGCTGCTGCTATTGCTGATATTGCTAATGTTGGTGAAGAAGTAGTAGTTGATGTTGTTTTTTGTTGTTGTTTTATGTTGTTGTTGTTTTCAACCCCGGAAGCTTGTGTTAACTTATTAATGGCACAGTGATGACTAATTATAAACGAACACATATGTTGTTGGATTTTCAAAACAAATGCCTCATTACATTGAAAAATACGGCCGAAACAAATTTTACAGATAAAAAGTTAATGATCCTTTCGTAGTATAATTTGAAGGCAAAACGTTGAATTTTTTTCAAACAAAAATGAAAGAAAATATAAAACCGGACAAATGCATTCATTTTTATCCTAGCGTATATAATGTAATGTATGAAACATGTACACGTGTCGTCTCCGGAAGGCCAAGGGCGATTATTATTTTTCCCGCCAAAAATTTTGCTGCACGTGGAAATCGTGCTGTTTTAGTGTAAACATAGCAAAGATAGAAAGCTGGAAAATATTTCAGGTAATACGTTTTGTAACTTTTCCAATGTTTGCCTGGTTTATATACTTTACATCAAACGATAATACTAGTGTATTGTATTATCATTTCATACATTTGTGACAGGCATTTTTGTACACTTTTTAACATGTTAACAAATGTGTGAACGAGACTGTTGCAACTGCTTGTCAAGGCCTAAACTGCTGTGTTGACAAGCTGACGGAGGTATACAGGTTATGGTAATTCAGCATTGTCAGCCATGTTTGTTTTCACTAAGTTGGTCCAAAGTAAAAGTAGGCCAAAATTCATATATCAACAGAGCTCAAAATGTAAATTGGTGAACAATTTGCAATAACGTTTCAAAGTCTATGCTTCAAGGACTTTTATAAACAAAAATAAAAACGATAACAGTAAGAATTTTTACCTTGAATGTGCTAAATTTCTGAAGAAAATGTAAAATCATTTGCAAAGTTTTATGCACATTTAATAGACCTAGAAGTGTAATTGTAAATGGTTCATCATTTTACATTGTGGGCTTTGTTGTTATATGATTGTTGGCCTACTTTCACTTTGGACACACATAGCGGAAACAAACATGATCACCTTTGTGCATGTATTGTATTGCATTTTTGACCGGATATATTAATTTCGAATATCATACATTGCACAACGGTATATGTATAACTTAAAATGACAAGCATAACACTTGCCTTACCAGTTCTAATTACGGTACCTGCTTGTTGGGCTTTTTGTTTTGTTCTAAGGTGTCTTCAAAAATTAGCTGCATATAAATGAATATAATTATATAAAAGTATAATGTTTGTTATACTTTGAGTGTTTCTCTTTCGCTATATCTGATTATTGTTACAAACACCGAGACAATCAAACAATTTCGTAAGTCGCTTATCTTTTCCTTCTTATTTCAGCGGTGTAAGAGATTTCAAGAAGTTATCATTTGTGGAGGGCTTTTTGTATCAACGAGCGCTGGCCATACAAAAATGTTTCTCTCACTGGTAGGTCATTTCATAAATTACTCATTTGCTCGTGTAGTGCCAACAATCTAGACATTGCAAGTCCTCCTGATAGATCAGCTGTTTGGGACAGGGGAGTTTTGGTTTGTGAGTTCAAGTCTTGTGCCGCTGGCTAAGCTATTTTGGAAACTCGTTATAAAAATAGCAGATGTGGATCAATTTAAGTTGAACATTACGACATATATCGGGCCAGTTAGCTCACTCCTGTGTAAACACTATGATAATATTTGGATATCTTTAATTAAATGTAAAATTCAACCGGAATTTTGATATATTTGTACTGTATTCTTTTTTCAGATTTTGTTCTTGATTTCACACACATTTGCCACTTGTGATCTTTTACCAAGGGATGCTGATTCACCAGATAGGTAATGCTTTTTCTAATATTTTACATACTTTCAATTTAAGGTCCCTTTCGCCCTTGCCCTCTTACCCCTCCTCTTCAGTCTTGGTCTGGTGGTATAAGAAAACCTCTTAATCCATTTTGTGTTCAAATCCCGCACACGGAATGACAGTGCCAACTGAGGGCCTCTTTGTAGTACACCAGTTGCAAATATGGCAAACTGAAATCTAAACAAATCAAAGCACAGAAGGCGCTGAATTTGTTTGGGTCTCAGAATGTAAGAAAGGTGCAGGTTGTGAGATTATATGTATAGAGCCACCAATGCTTTCCAGCGTTTTAATTGTAGTAAATTGGCTATAAGACTAATTGCAACACTGATATTCAATCCAATGTTTATTGACTTTAACAATTTGAAAAAAAATGAGTTACCTTTACTGGGATTTGAACTCCAGACCTCTCGCTTCCTAAGCGAGCCCAAAAACCCTTCAGCCACGGTGAATTTATATGTGAACGGCCTGAAGAAAAACCATATTATTTAAATTAGGGCTTGTAACGACTTTAACTGTTGTTTAACACAGATGTAAATAATCCTGGAACTTACTATAAGCATGTATATTTATAAAGAATCAAAGGGCAGCAAGTTCTGTGGTATTTTCTGATCTTTGCAATCTAAATCGTACTGTATATCTGTATGCATTTTCCTGTATAAGTTTATTTTTATGTATTATAATTCATTTTGCAAGGCACCAGAGTTTGATACATACGGAATTCTGCATAACTACGTAGAGTTGCATCAAAAAATCATTTATGTTCATTTTTTTAGACAGCCACACTTTATCCTTGCATATCATGGCTACTTTCTTAACAAAGACACTTAAAAAAGAATTTAACAAAAAAAAAAGTTTCCTCGACTGGGATTTGAACTCGAGACCTCTCACTTACTAAGCGAGCGCGTTACCACTGTACCACGGAGAATTCACGTATACAAACAAAGTCTGATTAACATCATTAAGAATTTCCATTGCATTTCGGGTTTGTAATCCTTATTAATTTCGAGGTATTTTGTTCATGATAAACCTGTTGTTTCAAATTGAAGTAAAAATTTTAGCGAAAATCTTCTCGCCCAAACAATCCGACATGTAGAATCTATATATTCCACTACTCGGTTTGTGTAGTATTCGATAATCGACATCGCTAAAAATAGTATTTTCATTGATTAAATCATATTCATCCGCGTAATTTGTGATTGTGCATTTATTGACAATTCTATAAGCCAAAACTATTGTTTAACTTTGAATGCGTTGTAATTTGTTGAATACTTGTTACAAAATAAAATATTTCTTTCTTTTAAATTGCTAGTTTTAAGCTGTTTTGAGAACTACTTGTTGTTAGGTTTGTCGTAAACTTCTGTGTCAGAGATTGAATGTCCGCTTTGTATTTACTTATTTTCGATCAGAAAATACAATAAAACAATATTAGAAATCTTCGACCATTCGGGAATTACTTTGCTTGAAAATGAATGCGCCTGTCTTTGACCATCTTTACGCAGTGATCTCCCCTGAATTTTTCGGCGTTAGTGTACATACAAAAGGGAAGTAACCGCTTCAGAAAAGTGGACTACTTTCGGCATTTGCAATAAACAACATTAGACTCTGAAATTTCGCTACCATTACAATGTATTTGTTTGGTCTGACGACCCAACCAAATAAAAATCAAATGAACTTCTCTTTATCCCAATCTAGATCAAATAGATTCATGTTTATAAGAGAATTACTTAAAAATGCGCACATAGGTTCTACTTTTGCTAAGTAAACGGTAAATTACAATTCAATTCGGATTAGGTATCTAACTGACTGTGCTGTTCAAACATTTAAAAGTTTTTTATATTCCCTGCCGATATAACCCCAAGGAAGATTTAGCTTTGGTATTGTCCGTCCGTCCGAATTTTGTTTCCGCGCTATTTCTCGGCAATTACTGACTTAATGAAACTTTGCGAGTACATTCGTTACTAAAAGTAGATGCGCACAAAATCTGCGTGTCCCGAAATTTGCATCCAACTTGGAGTTATGACCCCGGATTGGTTATGCAGAATGTTTTCAGAGTAAAATACGTTTCCGTGAGATTCTTTTGCAAACATTTGCTGGATTTCAAAGAAACACTTTAAAGGGGCTATCAATTGGAGTTGTCATATCCTCGCCATGTATTGGTCAGACCATTCAACACATTGTTATGGCCCCTGATTTGTTTTGCAGTATGCATACAGAATAAATTTTGTTTTCCCACTATTTCTCTACAACTGCTTAATGAATTTCAACGAAACTTTATGGTAAATGACTTTGACATTGAAATGACCTTGACCTTCAGGTCAAATTATTGAGTTTTCTTTGTCAAATATTGCCATATCTTTGTTATTTATAGATTGTTCCGATTTAAACTTGGACAAAATTTTACTTAAAAGAAAAAAACATGTTGAGGTTTTTATTCATTGACTTATGCATGATATTTCGGTTAGTAATAAACAGTATTCGGCGTGGGATAGAAATACCAACAAATTTGCATATTTTTAGTTCGAGTCTTTAGTTGCACAATGTTTATAACTTGATCATATATAAAAATAATACAGTAGACTTAGCATTTGTTAAGAATATTCTTTTTTCTTTCATATATTTAGAAAGAACACCGACACAGCATATATAAAAGATTTCAATTTAAATTAGTTAACACTATATTTCAGGTTTATTCTGCGAAAATTGTTAGAAGACAGTACCCCTAACGTCACATCGAACGCTATAACTTCCGCCAACGTCACAACTACTAAAAAGCCCTTGAGTACGCATAGAAAATCGTTGGCTGTCCTCCAAGTGGTAGATGGCCAAGGATTAGTTCAAAATAGGGTTTCAACCAATCAGAACATTCGTCTTAGAGTGAAAGCTCTCACAACACCAGGTACGTCCCTTAAATATAGGCTATTCGGTCATATACCATGTTTATGTTCGCTTTATGGTCATAAACCGTATTTATGTCGCTATATGGTCTTTTTGTGTTTTCAATTTAACATAACATTTCGACATATTATTAACAAAAAATATAACAAAACAAAACACATAAAAACTGATGGAAATACAAACTGTTATTAAGTCCTATAACTAGATAAATTCCAATTTTGACTAAGGGTTTACGTATATAGCATCTGCGGCAAAAGTACGCATTTAAATTCCGAGGAGGCAATAGCATACACGTCATTTCATCATTTGCTTTCTGTTTTAATTAAATGTAAACACATATTTCAGACTACCAACCGCCTTTTGTAAAGCATTGTTGGTATGACCAGTATACCAGCGTGCCATCAAATGATACCGAGCCTTCGAAAACAGTTGACTTTCTGGACAATGGGTAACAGTTCTACCTTATTCATACTAACATCATTGTAAAGAGTTTACTGTACCTTAAAGATATACTATGCTCAAATTTTATTTTTACAAATATTGATAATTGCTACACAGCCTCTTTGTATGTATAAAATAAACATGTTCGACTTCCTTATAAGTAGATGTGTTATGTTTTAAACTCTATACGCTACAGTTGGTTACAATATGAATATATAGTGTCTTTTAAAAAAACTGGCAGTTTTTTTTTCAGAAAAGACCAACTTTACTTGACCCGTAATAAGGAATGCTGCTTCCCATACATAGTTTATTCATTATTTTATTCAAATTAAACATATTCAGGAAGAATTTCATGGATTTCAATACATTTCTAAGATAGAAATGAGCCGCGTCATGACAAAATCAACATAATGCGTTTGCGACCAGCATGGATCCAGCCCAGCTTGCGCATCCGCGCAGTCTGATCAGGATCCATGCTGTTCACTATTGGTTTCTCTACTTGTTATAGAGTTTGTAAGCGAACAGCATGGATCCTGATCAGACTGCACGGATGCGCAGGCTGGTCTGGATCCATGCTGGTCGCAAACCCATTATGTTGGTTTTGTCATGACGCGGCTCAAATATTTTACCCAAAGATGGGCATAGTTTATCTTTAAATTGCTTTCATTGTACACTTGACAATATTTTCGTTTTTTATAAATTTTGAATTTTTTCTTCACATTAGCATGAATCTGGTGGCATGCTGCTATAAGATATGATTACAGAAATGATATTGTAAAAGCATGTGCGGCGTCTTTATGTAAAATAAACTTATTCGGTAGCATATATGACCACACGTTCCTACGAAAGTAGTCACCGGTAGTGGCGGCATGGCCGAGTGGTTAACGCGTCGGACTAGTAATCTCATGATCGCTAGCCGCATGGGTTCAAACCCTGTCAGGTGCAAGTCGTTGTTTCCTTGAGCAAGAAACTTTACACTCATTGCTCAGTACTGGTTGGTTCCAGGAACGGATTCGAAAGTATGTCTATAAGCTTATAGCTTGCTACACAATCATATTAAATTAAATTCTGTATATACCAAAGTAGTCTCCAACGCTTCAATATTCAAACTTCAAACTTTATATTTCTGATATACTATACATTAGGTATAAACTGTGATGCCTGAAGTGGGAAGTCACCACCAGTCTTTCAGACGCTCCAGTCGTTTGAAATTTATACTTACATACTGAAAAAGAAAACATTCGTTTATTTTAAGATGTCTGACAAGTGACGGGAAGTTGCTGGAGGAGGATGTGGTACCATTTATGGAGAACGGCCTGTTAGAATCTCAGACGGATGTGTTCAATTTAATGTCTGTATATAGTGACAAGTTTACCTTCCTTGGCATTCACTGTGAGGTGGTCCTATGTCATCTGAATGAAGACTGCTTTGTGGTGAGTTACAGTACAACCTCTATATAGCAGCCACCCTTTGTATAACGACCACCCTTTGTGATATTAAGATTTTCAGTCGTTGCTAAGAGGTGTTTCTGTAGAGAGGTTAAAGCACATAAAGCTTCAGAATCGAAAAAAATATATTTCATTCTTTACTAAGGGAAAATATGAAACTTTAAACGTTTAAATAATCGTTTAAAGGCGTGTTAGAATCTTTTCACCAAAAGAAAGTAGCGCTTAATGTAAAATTATTTGTCGCAAAGAAGCGAAATGTTAACAAAGTAGAATTTTGACTTACATACAAAATACTTAAACAATATAACTATACCAATTGAACTGAAGCAAAAGATGGTTCAAATAATTGGCCAATAACTAACTTTTTGAAAACTATCACATAAGACCAAAAATAAAAAGCTTTTGAAGAATAAAACGAAAGCGTTTCTGGGGCACAATGGGCCTTTAACTTTATTGTACAGTTATACTTTGGGAAAAATGATACTGTTGTGGTGAAAATTCAAAATTTGATATATCTATCGGTCTCGGATATTCACTTACATTAAAACCTGTGTTTAAAGACCGTCGGCAAGTAAAGAACACAAAAAATATATTGCTTAATTCCATTCCTTAGAAATATCTCATTGGAAGACCAAACTTAACAAACACAACCTGCCGCAAAAATAAACACATACACAATAACCTGCCGTTAAAGATCGCTGTGTTACTTCCTCTTGTATGATAAAATTAATGGAAGTGAAAATTGTCTGCCTTGAAAATCTTGTCAGTGGGTCATTCAAGCCACATGAGTGGTCACAACTGGGCAAAACATAGGTTTCACCTCATGTCAGCAAACCTCGAATCGGCTTGTTTCGAGTCCTTCACAGGGAATTTGTTTCTAAGAAAGTCGCTGTTTTGAATAAAGGATGTCAAAATTACAATCACTCTTTGCACAGATTCAAGTGGTTTATGTGGTGAAATGGAAACCGGGCACTCTTGTTTTACAGAACCTATGTACCCTTAAAGTTGACGCTAGTGTCATAAATGATGCAGATTATTTTGGCCTGTTAGGAATAAGAATTATGATTTTTATGGACAGTATAAACACTGTGCTATAAGTACTTGTGCACTTTATAGCATTTTGCTAATCCCGCAGAAAAAAACTCGAAGGCAGGGTAGTTAAAATCGCTTGCTTTGACACACTTGTTGAGAAGTTGTGCATGTAGCTTTACATATGGTCTTTAATTTTTACTCCGGTGACCACGTGTGTCTTGAATAATGAAGGAAGGAGGGGACAAGGGGTATTCAAGATATATCACAATTTGAAACACGTATTAAACATTTAAAGAACCACGCCTTTCTTTTCTCGCTATGTAATTGCTGCGCAATTATGAATGCTTTTTTTAATATTTTTCATTTTATTATGGCTGTAGAGCTGTTCAAGGCAGAAAAGAAAGTGGAGAATGGATGACCAATCTGAGAGCATTCAACTTGCGGCCTTACTTAAGGTGAAGAAAGAAAAGGATGCGCCAACCATTTCTCCTAGGAAATCTGCCATACATAAAGAGGATGACCTCGATGACTTCTTGATACGTGGAGGTAAATATTGCAACATTAAGGAAGCAACCGTTACTTTTCAGCCCTTTCCGTCAGTCGGATAATTGTTATTATGAATAATAGCCGGGGACGTTCCGATTGGTTAAGAAAGATGAATAATAATCATACATAAATGTAAAGTTCAAGGGGATAGTTCAGTATGTTGATGTAACGATATGCAATTGTCAAGATGTTTATGATTTTGAAAAGAAAGTCCAGAAAATTCAATACCACGGTACCTCTGGTATGTACTGATAACTCTTACAGTGAGGATATGATTGATACGTAAAATTATCTCCCTTATATCAAACGTCTTAAATGATAATGTGTCATTCATTCGGAAGACTTCCGAGTTTTAGAAGCTTTCAAGCTTTGTACTCGGCATCAGTGGATTTGTTCATGAATGGTTATATTGGTATATCAGTGTAATAGTATACCCTCCCCACCAACAACGAACGTTGTTAACGGGTATACTAGTTTAATCTGGCTGTCTGTGTGCGCTTCTTCTCTTAAACCGCTCAGTCACTTTAAATGAAACTTGACAGGAATAATTGTTAAGCTTTTATACCGTACTTATAAGGAATTTTACCTCGACCCATAAATGACCTTTACTGTCAAGGTTAATTGTTTAAACATTTTGCTGAGATTGGCTACAATTGACTGTAACTTTGTTATTGATGTTATAGATGTACTGTATTCATACTTGGACATAACAACTCTTTTAGAACATACCTTCAAGTAGATTAAACTGAACATGACTTTGACCTTTAAATGGCATTGACTCTTTAAATCAAATAATTGACTTTGCTAAATTTTACAATTTAAATTATTTTTCAGGTAGACCTGTAGCTCCTCAATTTCCGATGAGAAGGACAGAGCCCCCGTTTCTTGAAAAGAACCACGTTTACTTCACACTTAGTACACTAGGTGTGTGTGCCCTCTTACTATTGTGTGTAATAGGCGCTGGGTGTATGTACATTTCCTTCAACAACAACCGTGAACCTACCGAACAAGCGAATACTTCCGGTCATGTGACTAGTTACCCTGACAACAAAATGACTGGTTTACCTAATGTCGTAGGAACGAGTCAGAAAGGAGTAATAAACAATAGAGATATCGTAACCAGTCAACCATCGGAATACAATGATGTTTCGGCATGGCCAGGCGCAGATTTGAACCCCAGGAGTCCATGTAAGGAAATTATTCATCATTTTATTATCTGACTTTGAATCCAGTTTATCTCCCTGTTGTCTGAGTTTGATACATTGTATAGTGGTGTTACTAAAGGGTGCCTCATGACACGCATAATTTGATGTACTCAATAGAATGTTTTAAAGCTTGACAAAATGCTTTCAAATCTTTGTTTTAAAAATGGCTTATTGGCAACGCCGGTGAGCCGTGTCGTCTCTTTATATGGAATGCTTTTTATTTTGGCCTATGGAAGGAGCTGTTATTATTAGCAGTTATTGTCAACTTGTGTTAATTAGTTTAATTTTGACTCGTAAAAATCAAGTAAACAAATATGTTGTTATATTTGTATTTAATAACTTTATGTAAAAAGCATGTGCATTGTGATATTATTTTCACGAAATTGCAGGCTCAGTTTAACAGCTTTTATACATTTATATTGTTCCGTATTTATTTGCACGAAATTTAATGTACCAAAACTTGGGCCATTTTCTTGCTAGTCTATGCTTTTAGGTAATATAGGGCTAAATGTACCCAAAAATCGTACCTTTCTGTATGTTTCATGTGTACATGAGAACTATATATATACATTCTAGTCCATATGAAGAATCTTGAGTGCTTTACGAGATATGAGACCCTTCAGTTTCTCTCTATTCAGTTTGTAGAATACGTGTAAAAAAGTGTAAATTGTAAAACAAAATGCGGAAGAACAACGGAACAAGGGAATAAGAGAACAAAATGATTTATAACAAACTGAAAACTGACATCTTTGTATCAATGTCAGCTTTACGTTAACTCGTGAGACATCGGTGTACTTCGTCATTTTCCATAGCTGGTACATCGTCGATCAATCGCGTATTCTCGGCTCTTTCCGTCAAAGTTCGGATAGAAGCCGAGATGTTCCGATTGCATTGTGTCGGCTCGCCACGGCGAGCCGGTATTACGTTAGGATTTTACTGAGAAACAACCTAAAACGCCGAATCCATCTAAAAATTTAATTGAAGCTTGGCTTCCAGCTTTCTACAAAATTTATCTGTCAGGGCTGGAATCCAAAATTATTTAGCCAATCAAATAAAATGTTACATAGCGTCAAAAAACCTTCAATTTTCACGCCATTTTTGAAAAGCAGCAAGTATTGCTTTGAGCGCAAAGATATAATGATGATTAAAATGTTTGTTTTCGTGAATTCTTTTCAATAAATCATATTGACACTGACTTTTGATTTAGTTATTTCACCTGCTCTGTAGTAAGTTTTCGTTTGGTTAACTCACATAAGTGTACATCTAGTTCTGTGCATTTTTTTCTTTTTCTTTTTTTCCGGTCATTTTATCCTTTCCGGTATTTAGGGTGGGGGGAAATCCCGGAATCCGGGACGCCCGGGATCCGGGATAGTATTAGATATATAGGGAAAAGGAATAAACTATATTTGTGTTGATTATTGTCGTAATGAAAGGCGATTAAACGATAACTTTTTATTTTTTATTGTATGTAATGAATGGTAAATTAATTTAACTTAAGATTTAAATATATTTAGAGCTATTTATTAACAAACTTAAAATGCGGAAATCGCAATACTTGTAATTATATGCCTAATTGAAAAAAATCAAAGTTTTTGTTAATATAATATTTGGCTAAATTTTATGTTCATGTATTTAAATATTATTTTTAGAAAAGATCATAAGATATACTTAACATAATTGATAACAAAAAAGATTTTTTCCATCAAAATTGATTTCAAAGTGCTGCAACTTCTTAATGGATTGAGATAGAGTCAAATGCTTTTCAGCGTTGGTTACACGTTACCTTATGATCGATCTGGGGTCATTTTTAGCCTGTCACAAGTCCAAAATTTTCTTGGCGATGAGGGGGACTGCCGCCCCCTTCAAACCCCCCAAACAGAAGGGGGCACATCCCCCTTCTGGCAACCCCCTGATGTATCTTTTGGTTGGGGGCCGCGCCGAAAAAGTGGTCACTTTTTTAAACAACATTTCTCAACCAAAAACAAGTGTTGGGGGCCTAAATAAGGCATTTTTTCACCATTTGAGACAACAAAAAAAGGGGGGTGAAAAAGGCGTTAAAAGGCGTGTATATCGCGTAATGGGTTAATACGATCCCGGCTTTTCTGAATATGACATGGCAGTGGTTAATTCCCGGGATCGCTATATATCTAATACCATCCCGGCTTTTCTGAATGTGATATGTTAGATCAAAGATATTCTGTTTAAAATATTGTACACGTATCGTAATGATTTCATAGGGAAAATGATAATCTGTCCTATTGAAACGTTTGTTTTAATATTTTTAAAGGTACAATATACTCATATATTGATAGGAGTAAAATTATTTGAACATTACAAGTCTGATTCTGTTTGACAAGTGGAAATTACTATAAAAATTTATATCTAGGTAGGGAAATCAATATCAGTCTTCTTGTTTGGTCAAGGTCAACAGGCCATATAGTAAATGTGCATAGACATAGGGACTTCATTCTATCTGTTTACAAGCATTTTCATATAATTATACTCATATTCCTCTTTGTTAAACTGAGAGAACTGGCTTCCATAACTTTATATGTCGCTTTTATTTTGATGTTCGCTGAAGTCTCTTCAGCTAACAGAACTGTCACTTTTACATTTAAACACACCCCTGGAAAAAAAATTACGAAGCGAGTCGCTACTAGCTTTTTTAAAAGCTAACCTTGTCGATATATATTGTAAGAATTTGTCCAATTGATACGAATTATTCTAAACGGAAAATGACGAAGTTGGCCGAATTTATGCTTTCTCTATGGAACCAGAATCTATTTTCAGACCGGGAGCCAGCTGTACTGACACCCAGCGAAGCATCAGTACTAGAAGCCCGTGGATTGCTAAGATCCCATCAACATTCACAAAGAATGCCACGACCTTCACAAAGAAGGCTTGCTCTTGAAACTGATCTTCGGGGTTAGAAAAATAATAATATCGTTTGTTTCCATATTAATATACTGGTGCCTTGTATTGTTAGACGCTGGTTCCAGTTGAAGCACTCGATATTGAGGTTAATTGAAGAATATAACTGTCATACAAAATTCTTCCGAGTTAAACTCGGTCTCTATTGCTAGGAACTTCTTTTAAAATTTCACCTAGACATAATGTAAATATTATTTATAGATAATTAATATTAACTACAAAAATTAAATTTTCATTTGAAAAATTAAAGAATATTTTTTTTTCGAACAAGAAAAACTTTCAATAATAGCCTAAGCCCATTTAGTTCCTACATACTTTTTTGGGATATGAAAACCTCGTTTATTTCATTTATACTCTGAATTTATAAGTACTTTATATGATAAAAAAATTTACCTACCTTTCTGCTTTATAGATGAGTATGTTGAAACCAGAATTGGGAGAGCCAACAGTAGATATTCACCTTTGTGGAATGAGGTATATTGTTTACACTTTTCGGCCCTTTCCGTCAGTATAGATGATGACGTTCCGATTGTACCATGTGTACTGCGGCACAAACAAAATAGCGGAAGTTATACAGTCTTTTCCAGCACAGTTTACACTAATATAGAGCCGACGAATCTTTATACATGTACAATATTGGTGTCTTATATATTTGCAATTGCTTGCCAGTAGATATTTTAATGAAAATTTTGATGTGCAATCAGGTTTCAAATATTTCAAATATAAATATGCAAATTTAGACTGGTGTCCAATCAGATTAAAGTAGTGATTACTATTTTTGCACAAGGTGTTTCCCCTTAACTAATTATTTTTGGATAAACTAATTTATTTATGATGACCGTCATATAAATTACCTGACCAGTTTAAATATCTTAAACGAACTTGCTCATTTTTATGCCCCGGGCATATAGTAATTGAACCGTCCGTCCGTCCGTCCGTCTGTCCGTACGAGGTTCACCTAGAACGGCAAGTTGGATTTTTCTTAAATTCTACCTGTACCAATGGCAATGGCTTCTTAGTTTACACACTTACTAATCAATACAAAGTACATGATCTGGTCAAGTTATATAACTGTGTCATCCATATTTCCCAGTTATTTCCCTTTTTTCACTTTGAAAATAGGGCCTTGTCTGGTTAACCTATTCCGGCAAGTTGGATTTATCTTAAATTTCTCTTAATTGCTTAATTTATTTAATGATATCTTGCATATTTGGTAGGTGGATACCTCTAATGGTCCTCTAATTTTTTTGTGGAGTAAGTGGTCTCTAGGGTCAAAGTCAAGGTCACTGGTTTAGAATATAAATTTAAACATTTTTGCTCATACAGCCTTTATATTTTGGTTGATGTCTTTTTTGATGTTTAATACAAACATGCCAAGGGAGGTACTCCTTCTTTGGGTATAGTAAGGGGTCATTTGGGTCAAGGTCAATGTCACCAATGTCAAGGTCACCAATGTTGAAAATAGATTTTTACAGGTGTATTAACCATATTCTATAGACAGATGTCATTTATAATTGATAGGAACATAAAATTTAATGGAGTTAGTGGTCAGTTGGGTCAAGGTCACCAGTGCTTAAAATAGATTTTTACACTTTTGCTCATACTGCCTTTATTTAATGACAGATATATTTCATATTTGGTAGGAAGATAACTTGCATGGTATTCATCCTTTTGATTGGGGTAAGGATCAGTTGGTCAAGGTCACTTGTGCTAAAAATAGATTTTTACACTTTTGCCCATACAGGCTTTATTTATTGACAGGTGTATTTCATATTTGATAGGAAGATAACTTGCATGGTATTCTTCCTTTTGATTGAGTTAGGGATCAGTGTGTCAAGGTCACTAGTGCTAAAAATGGATTTTTACACTTTTGCCCATACAGCCTTTATTTATTGACAGATATATTTCATATTTGGTAGGAAAATAACTTGCATGTTATTCTTACTTTGGATGGAGTTAGGGGTCAGTTGGGTCAAGGTAACAAGTGCTAAAAATAGATTTTTACACTTTTGCCCATACAGCTCTTATTTATTGACAGATTTATTTCATAATTGGTTGGAAGATAACTTGCATGTTATTCTCTCTTTGGATGGGGTTAGGGGTCAGTTTGGTCAAGGTCATTAATGCTCAAAATAGATTTTAACATTTTTGCCCATACAGCCTTTATTTATTGACAGGCGCTTTTCATATTTGGTAGGAAGATAACTTGCATGATATTCTATAGGTGTCAGTGGGTCAAGGTCAAGGATGCCAAGTATAGATTTCTTACATTTATATATATTTGATAAAGTTGAATATTTATCACTTCACAAGTCATAGCAATGACTTGGCAACTTATATATTTCACAATTACAAAATGCCATGACTCTGTCAAGCTATATAACTTGTGTTTACAATTTTTTGGCAATGTTTCTGTCCATAACTGAGTGAATGGGTAAACATTTTTTGAAATATTGCTACTGACAAGAATCGGAGCCGGGGGCATTTGTGTTTAACAAACACGTTCTTGTTTTTTATCTGAACAAGACCTTTCATCATTCTAGGGGAAAATTTTAATTTTTTTCTAACTGAATAACAAACAGTGCAAACCATGACCAGACGATACAAGTGTACCAGCTGATTTTGGTCTGCACTAGTTGTATTGGTGAGCAGCAGACGACAAAAGTTTAATTGCATTGGTAAGATCTTTTTTCTCTAGCAGACGATAAAAGTTTAATAACCTTTATTTTCAGATACCAGAACACTACAGGGATCGGACCGATATCACCACCTCCCCTGTTGGCGGGGAACTGTACCCAGGGCCAAGTTCGAGATTCCGCTCCCCGCAATCCGAACCTCTGATTCAGAAAAGTCCTTACAGAGGTCGCGTTAAAGCGACTTCTCTACTTAGCATGGCATTAAATGACTACTTCGACAAATACAGAATGTGAAATGTTTAAGTACATTTGAAATGTTTGTTTGTGTGGGCAGATGCATAAAGTACTGATGTGTAGCACTATTATGATTAAATCATTCTGTATTAAAAGTTATGATAAAAGAGATCTGTTATTTTATAAATTACTGTAACTTCTTTGTGCATAAAGATATAGTGGATTATTTGTAAGTGGTAAAATATATCTAACATCATACTGATGTATATAAATTCTACGTAAAGGTTCAAATAAGGTGGTTTTGCATGCACGAATTAATCGCTCAATTTCATTAGCGTGCTTTGTATCATTTATTTCGACTATTTTTAGCTCACCAGAACCGAAGGTTCTAGGTGAATTATTAGCATGAATGGTGGATGCTCCGGCGTCCGGCGTCATGCGACCACATTTATCTTTTTTTCTCTGAAACTGCTGAGCAGATATACTTCAAACTTGCTCTGTAGCTTCCTTGTGAGAGTCACAATTAAATTTGCTCATGTCATAATTGGCCCCTTTAAGGGGTCAACAGATCTAAAAATAGAAAAACCTTTCAACACACTCTTCTTTTGAATAATTGATGAATGATCACCAGACTGTCTGTGGCATTTCGGGTAGTCTTTTATCAAGTTTGCTCATATTGATTTGATTGGCTCCTTTTAGGGGTCTCTAGAGCTAGAAATGGGAACATTTTTCTACTGAACTAATTGATGGATAATCTCCAAACTTTTTCTGTAGCATTCTTACGTAGTTTTTTTATTAAATTAAAAGGTTCCAGTATGAAACAAAAAGCGTAAGAAAGCGTGAGTTGACATGCTTTACTTGCCAGATTTACAGTAACAATGAATTTGAGGTATTTGTGAAAGGTTCCTTTTTTATTCTGAAGAAGAAAGTGTCGGGTCAACTATATAACTAGAGAGGTAATTTGAAGATGGGCTGTATTTGCCTTTCGGCAAGTTCATTTAAAAAAATTTCTAACGCTGAAAAATAGTTCTCTCTAGTGAGCGATTCAAGGGCATCATGGCCCTCTTGTTTATTATTGAGAGAAGATCAGGAAAATAAGCGATTGTAAAGGATTGTCTTTTAAATGTTGTACAGGTTTTTTTTAATGCCCCCGTCCCCCGGGCTAACAGTCACTGAACACGTCCGTCCGCTGTTCCGTACAAGGTAAGCAGGCAAGTTGAATGTATCTTCAGCTCTATCTGAACCACTGGCTGCATAATTAGTTAAGTATCACACTTCTTCATTAATTTTGGCAATAACATAACTGTGGCTTTTGTTTTGTTTGTGGTATTTTTAGTTGTAGCTATTTGACATTTTCTAGTTGGATGGTTCCAATATTCCTACTTGAATAATGTTGAATCACCTTTAGGATATGTAGCCTGCCTTTTATGCCCCCCGGGCATATAGTAATTGAACCGTCCGTCCGTCTGTCTGTACGTGGTTAACCTTAAACGGCAAGATTTTTAGCTCACCTTTGCTAGCTCAGGGTGAGCTTTTAGGATCGTTGAATGTTCGTCGTTCGTCGTCTCTCCACACTTGTTCGTTAACACTCTAGGGGTCAAATTTTGCCTCAATCATCATCAAACTTTGTCAGGATGCTTATCTAGGTAATAGCTCGAATGAGTTCGAACATGGGTCATCTCGGATGAAAAACTAGGTTACAGGAGCTAAAAAAAGAAAAATCTTGTTAACACCCTAGCGGTCACATTTTTGCCTCAATCATCATCAAACTTTGTCAGGATCCTTTTCTAGGTAATAGCTCGGATGCCTGTGAAAATGGGTCATCTCGGATGAAAAACTAGGTCACAGGAGCTAAAAATAGAAATACCTTGTTGACACCCTAGCGGTCACATTTAAGACTTAAATATCATCATCAATCTTGGTCAGGATGCTTGTCTGGGTAATTGCTCGGATGAGTTTGAACATGGGTCATCTCGGATGAAAAATAAGGTCACAGGAGCTAAAAATTGAAAAACCTTGTTAACACTGTAGTGGTCACATTTTTGACATAATTTTCATTAAACTTGGTCAGGATGCTTGTCTAGGTAATTGCTCGGATGAGTTTGAACATGGGACATCTCAGATGAAAAACTAGGTCATAGGAGCTAAAAATAGAAAAATCTTGTGAACCCTCTAATGGCTACTGTTTTGATCCAAATATTCTGGAAATTTGTCTGAAAGTTTTCATCTCAGATGAAAAACTAGGTCACAGGAGCTAAAAACAGAAAAAATCTTGTTAACACTCTAGTGGCTACTGTTTTGATCCAAATATTCTGGAAATTGGTCTGAAAGTTTGTTTTGATGATTTCTATGTCAAGTTCGAAAATAGGTCACCTGGAGTCAAAAACAATGTCACACTGCTCAAATATGGATAATCCTTGCTAACACTCCATTGGTTACATTTTTGACTCACCTGTCATGAAACTTGGTCACATGCTTGTCTAGGTAATTGTTCGGATGAGATTGATGGGTCAGGTGAGCGATCTAGGGCCATCTTGGCCCTCTTGTTCTTAAGTACTACCTTTACCAATGGCTTCTTACTTCAAACAGTTACTTATCCACACAATGTCCATGATCAGGGCCACGGCTTCCATTTTTACCAAGACATTGCCCTTTTCAGAAAATGAATAATTGGTTAACCTAAAACGGCAAGTAACTGTTGGATCTTAAGTTATATCATTACTAATAACTTTATAATTTCCACACTTATCAATACAAAGTACATGATATTGCCAAGTTATATAACTGTGCCATCCATTTTTCCAGTCATTTCCATTTTTATCACTTCAAAAATAGGGCCATTTAAGGTTAACCTTTTCCGGCAAGTTGGAATTATCTTAATTTCTCGTAATTACTTCATTTATTTAATGACATTTCATATTTGTTAGGTGGATACCTTAAATGGTCCTCTACTTTTTTATGGAGAGAGGGGTCCCTAGGGTCAAGGTCTAGGTCACTTGTGTAAAAAACAAATTGAAACATTTTTGCTTATACAGCCTTCATTTTTAAGTTGATGTCATTCATGTTTAATTCAAACTGCTATGATTCCTTTGGATTTAGTTAGAGGTCATTTGGGTCAGGGTCAAGATCACAAATGTCAAAAAAAGATATTTATACTTTACAGGTGGATTTACCTTATTCTATTGATGTCTCTTATGTTTGGAGGAAATTAAAAAAAAATTCTTCGGATGGAGTTAGGGGTCAGTTGGGTCAAAGTCACCAGTACTAAAAATAGATTTTTCATTTTTGTTCATACAGCCTTTATTTATTGACAGATGTTTTTCATGTTTGGAAGGAAGATAACTTGCATGGTATTCTTCCTTCTAATTGAGGTAGGGTTCAAGGTCATCAGTGCTAAAAATAGGTTTTAACAGTTTTGCCCATATAGCCTTTATTTATTGATAGATTTATTTCATATTTTGTAGGATAGTATTCTTCCTTTGGATGAAGTTAGGGGTCAGTTGGGTCAAGGTCAGGTGCTAAAATAGATTTTACACTTGTCCATCCAGCCTTTATTTATTGACAGATGTATTTCATATTTGGTAGGAAATAACTTACATGATATTCTTCTTTTTGATCAAGGGGTCAGTGGGTCAAGGTCAAGGATGCCAAAAATAGATTTCTACACATTTGCTGATTTAGCCATTATTTTTTTTGACTGATGTTTTATTTTTATATTTGGTACGATGATAACTTGCGTGGTCTTCTTCCTTTGGATTGAGGTAGGGGTCTGTTGGTTCAAGGTCACCAGTGTTAAAAATAGATTTTTCACTTTTGCCAATAGAGCCTTTATTTATGGACAGAGGTCTTTCATTTTTGGTTGGAAAATAACTTAAAAATGTTTTTCCTTCAATTGAGTTTAGGGTCAGTGGGTTAAGGTCAAGAAGGCCAGTAAAAGATTTCTACACATTTGCTAAAACAACCTTTCTTTTAACTGATATTTTTTCATATATGAAAGAATGATAACTTGCATCCTTGTATTGAGTTAGGGGTCATTTGGGTCAAGGTCATCAGTGCTAAAAATAGATTTTTTACACTTTTTTATACAGCCTTTGTTGTTTTGTTGTTGTTTTTGTCTCAATGTCTCATACTTACATGGAACATACCTAAGGTGGTAAATATTTTTTTTAAATATTGCTACTGATAAGAATCAGAGCCGGGGGCATTTGTGTTTAACAAACACGTTCTTGTTAACTTTGTCTTTTGGCTTCTTATATGTGATATGCAGGCTTAAAACCTCTGATCCCCTTTCAAAATTATATTTTGTTTAGTTCCGCCCATTGTTTTCTTGTTTAGGGCACACGTTTCTATTACTGGAATGGCACGGAAGTGTCACATTGAAGGTTCAATGATAACCGCCGTATGAACACATTTACGGATGTGTCTAAATTCAAAATTATACATTTTCATGTTTAAATGTTGAATTCTGCTTAAGCCGGTACTAGGGGGCGTGGAAGGTAGTTTGCACTTGACAGTAGGCTCCATGAATAGACTCATTTAAACCGAGCATGTAATATTTTCAATTTTGCCGTTTTGGACTTTCTTAAGGGATTCTTATTTTCTCTATTCCATTACATCAACCCCCTCCCTCATTTAATTCCCTTTTACTACTGAAAATGGGTATGGTAAAGCAATTCTCTTATGAAAAAAAACATTAAAACAATAAATATAAAAAAGAAAACAATAACAATTTCCCTGTAAAATATAAAAGAAGTTGACTACAGTCTCTGTCTTATCAGTACCCCCTTCTTTGAGAAAGCCGTTACTTTGAGAAAGCCGTTACCTTTGAGAAAGCCGATACTTTAAGAAAGCCGTTACTTTGAGAAAGCCGTTACTTTTGAGAAAGCCTTTTTATTTATTTATTTATATACATGTATGAGTATATATATATTTTTAGAAAGACCGTGCTCCTGTACTTCCAATTAAATGTCTTTACAATGAGAACAATCCTCCATGTCACGCATATATTCTTCAAACTGAATCGTTGTCTCTGTAATTCCAAATTGTGACCTAATTAAACTCCGTATTTTCTTTAACACTACCATTGTATCTGTTGTTTTACCTGAAATTATATCACAGTAAGAATAAATCATATCACAGCATAACACAGCGTATATCATCAGAGTTTAT